GCTTCACTTCAAAATCATAGGAATGAAGAAAAAGAAGCATAGGAGAGTGGATCGCAGTCTGTGTGAATAATCCACTTGGTTGTATCTAGATTATTGGCAGAATTTGGAATATACACGCAAACAAGTGGGCAAGCAAACACTAAAACTAGTAATCGACTAAGCTGTCTGTGTTTGCATTGCAATCGACTCACCATCACTTATAAGACAGTTGAGTATTCGCCTGTATTTGATACACTGCGTCAGTGGGACAGTACTCGCCGACAACTCAGGTGGTCCGGGGTTCATTCCCCTGCCACTGGACGCACTCCTTCACCTCAATAAGCCAGTAGTGGGACTGATAAAAAGTGAAGGCTGAACATAATGCCAGCAACTACATCCTGTAAAAATGATAACCCCTACTACAGAAACTTCACGCCTCTATCTTAGAGCCATAGGTCCCACTGGGAAGGGAAAGAAATAAAAATATTTGATAAATTGTTCAATTCATTTTTTTTCCTTTTCAGAATCGGTATCATATTTATTGCTCACCAAGTAAGTATTCAAATCTTATCGCCAACTGGAATCCTCGTGAATCTGTTTTCATCATTCATTCATGCTTTCACTGTAAGATGGGTTTAAGATGGCCGGCCTCCGGAAGGAAGTGTATGTGTTTATGCAGGATTACAGTGTATGCGTTTGTCTGTGTACGTGTGGCGTGAAAAGTAAATAAGTGAGATTGACAGAGATTATCAGAATAGGCGAGGAGGAGTAGGAGGAAGGGGAATGAGAATGGGGTAAGGATTATTTATTTACGAATTTGCAGGGATAAATTTCTCGCCTCTCTCTTTCTCTCCCTCATAAATGTTTAGATCGTATTACTGAATCGAGAGAGAGAGAGTCAACAACTGGTTGGATATATTTATTTGCATCAAATATTCCTCATTACTAATGACTGAACCGTGTTTAGAACTGACTGTATGTTGATATGTAAATTGTAGGTTTTGAAGCAGTGATATATTGCCTGATAATGAGTGAAGCGGTTTTTGGTTTTTCAGAGTTAATTGTGGAAATCAATTCGTTTGTTTTGAATCTGGTCCCAGGTTATAAAGTCGATGACGACGAATCAACTACTGTGTTTTACTGAGATTGTTTATTAAGTGTATATTAGAAATCATTTCAAATGCAGTGATATTGTGAACTAGCATCTATTGAAGAACCACTAGTAACCGTGTATTGCTAGTCAGTAGGTTCCGGCAGTTGTTGACTTTTACCGATGACAGTGATTATCGTTGACGCGGTGTCTTCAAATGACAGGGCTTATAATTCAGATGTCACTGAAATCGGACCCAGTGGCCCACTGATCAGCCGGCCGGCCTCATACCATGAAATTCCTAGATTTGGTCGTTTGTGACGTGATCAGTGAGCACTGTGAACGATTCCCGAACTTTGAAAAAGCAGCCTTGGAACATTGACAAAATCTGCATCGCCATTCAATCGTTCTCTGATCAGCGTTATGCATAAAATCAAGTCATTATAGAAATAATAGAGAAGATTTTTTACCCAGGTAGATGATCTTAATTTATACATTTATTCCTATTAATGAATTTGAATAAAGTGAGAGCTACAGTTTTTGCAGAATAAAGTGGTACAATCATTGTTTATTTCGTTGGCTTCTCATCAGCTGCTTACAGGTCACAGTCATTATTAAGTATATCTACAGAAACAATTTTAACATACTTGCACAGAGTTCATTTTAAACAAAAATCAACCAATCAGTATATGCATATGCATATATATGTAATATTAAACACTATACCGAACAATATTGATCATTCACAATGGAAACTTTCGCCATTACGTATTCAGATGAAGGAGAGATGGAAATATCCAGTTACCAGGGTTGGCAAAGAAAGACTGATAACTGATAACAGAAGTAGGGTTTCAGGTGCTTGATGGAGGTGGCTTCAGCAAACTTGAGGAGAACTCAGCTCTTTTGACCCTTGATAATTTTGAACGATCTGTCGACGTCCACCTCATGACCCGTATCAAGAAGATTTTTTGGCGATGACACTGTTTACAGCATTTGTCCCCTTTAGGCTTTTTGGTACAAAATCGTAGATATGCCCTCTTCTTTCTGTTCTTCCAATGTAACTACTCTCACAGATACACATAAATTTTGTATACAGTTGGAGTTAACATAATTCTAATTTAGTTGTGTTCTCCGAGCTTTGAATTTCAATCAACCAGCTCAAAGAAGACAACTATAAGTCAATATGGCATTATTTTTTTTATTTCAAAGTGTTTGTATAGAAACGGGCATGGTGAATATTACACGGACTTAGAAATTTGCTTCTCACTGGTAAATATAGTTGGTCATAAACCGACCCGATAATTATGACTCCATCTCAACTCGTTAACATTAGTCACCAGGTAGTCGGGTATTCAGTTAGAAAGTGATGAATTACAATGGTATTTATATTTTTTAATCTGTTGCATTTAATATATATACTTATCATGAATATGCATGATAAGTACTCGTTTGTTATAAGAATTTTCGAAATCTGTTGTGTGTCAATGCTTTATATGTTTGAGATAAATAACGTCTGGTATTAGATAACTGGAAGGAGTCGCCAGGAAGCCCTACCTCACCTAGATTCCGTGTTAGTTAGCACTTACCAGTCAATCGGCAAGGCGTATCTGCAACCGCCATGAAGCAATTCATGTCCCTCATTCCGAGATTCGAACCTGCATCACTCAATGCTGAAGTCAGTCAGGGACATTACCACTGAGCCATTTTGGCTTTTGACTGACCTCCTGTGGGAGTGACTGTATAGGATATTTTTGATTAGACACTAGTGAGTAACTGATGTAATATGTCTAGTACTGACTGCAGCACTGAGAGATGCAGGTTCTAATCTCACAATGGACCTGAGTTCCTTCAAAATGGTTGCAGATACGCCTTGTTGATTGAGGAGTGTTATCTGACTCGAAACCTAGGTTCAAGACTTCCTGCCGACTGCCTTCAACAATCTAATATCAACAGTTCACAGTAGACAGTGATGGACAGGTACCTAGCATGTTGGACACATTGCAAACTTGACTGATGATAGAATTCCGTCTGCACCACAGAAAGTACTAGAGTCATTACACTGTAATAATAAGATTCCGTGATATTATTTCCAACTCAAAATAGAATTCAAGAATTTAAGAGTGTAAGGATCGGAGTGTCACCCTGCCTCAGTCTAACAAACATCTCAACGATAAAGGATTGTCCGTTCAGCATTTCGAATTTGAAGTGTGTTGCTTAGTGCAGTTTTAATCCAAAATTCCCCTTATCGATGAGAAGTGGATTTTACTTAGTTTATTTGAAAATATTGTAGAAAACTGTTGTTACGGAGTTGTCACTTAAGTTACAAGTGCAACATGATGCTTCGATAACACATCGTCAGGGACATTACCACGGGCTCTTGACTGACTTCCTGTAGGAGTAACTGTATTGAATATTTTTGATTAGATAATATTTAGTAACTAGTGTAATGTGTGTTGGTGTGGTCATTCAATATGTCAGGAGAATTCATTCAAAGTCATCTAAAAATTTAAAAGAAGCCCACAGAAAACGGTGGCCTTCCGTATACTTTGCGTTGTCGAGGTCTTAGTGACTTTGGACGGGAAACCTTGAATTAAATGTGCACACAGGAAACTTCTCCATCCCCTTCTTATAACCTAACCTTAGGCATAATTCGAAGTTAAACTATTTTGTTACTGATATAATGTTTTGCACTTTTTTGGTATGACATTTCAGTAACATCTTTTTCTTAACTAACCGTGTGTATTTACTCTTTTCAATCTGTTACGTAATTTATTCTGAGCACTTGTCTCCATACTTTTTCGTTAACGTCCCCTATTTTTCTGGGATCACAACTGCTCCCCCCCACCTTAGTTACAATCTGACTATGAATTACGTCACTTGAAATATTTTGATGACGTAAAAACAACGCTAACTAATTCTGAATGACGGACAGCCTACTCGTCAGCCGAGTTTAGGACTCTTACGCACTATGCACCCGCCACTGGGGTTGAGATCTAGGACGTCGCGGTTACAAGGCGAGCTCGTAGATCAATAATCCACCAAGAATTTATGACCAGTGGGCTGCACCAGGTCGAGGGTTATGACAAACACTAGTCGGCGACGACTTTGGATAGTGCCACCGAGCCACAGGGAAGTTAGAATTCATTTACAGGTCACTAGATCAAGTCCCATTGGCTTAATGGTCATCGAACTAGCTTGCCATGTTACCGAATGGGAGTGAGTTCGAACTCTGGCAGTGGAATAGGTGTGGGTTGATGAAGAGTTGCAAACTAGACTGATGAAACAGCTTTCTGACAGTACTCCAGTATTGATCTGCCAGATGTCCTTTGTCCACTTTCCTTTACCCATTGTTATTCACCTACCTGCCTACCTACTAATAAATGACTATTAAGGAATTCAGAGACATTTATTATAATCTAATTCATGGAATATAAACAGAGAAACTGCATATTTTCCCTTTATTTTTGATAATTTAATAATCAATAAGGAAGAGAGAAAAAAGAAGAAAATATGCATTGTTTGTTTGTGTATAGGACTGCATATCGTTTTGTTTTGTTTTGCTTTTTTATTTACTGCAAAACATATCTCTTCTTTTTTTTTCTTTTTTTTGTTCATAACCTTCACGCATACGACTTCTACAATTTGAAGATGTGAAAACTATGCGATTGCACTAAATACAGGAAAATACAAAATTTTGTGGTCTTTATTTCAGGAATTTTTTCTTTATTTTTGATAGATTTACCTTGACGTATTGACGTATGTTTGTAGGGGCATGTCTTAATTTCAAATGGTATTTTATTTTTAACCAATCACAGATGGCGGTGGCAAATTTAGACGATCGATAGACAGACAGGCTGAAAAGATGGACTGATTAACTTATCATCGTCTCAGCCTTACGCCTATTGGTTAAAATAGAGTGTTGTGTGTTGACCTTTGTGTTATTTGGTGATAGATAAAGTTGAATAATATAAGTAGTATCGCATAATCAACCAAAAAAAAGAAGAATGCGGAATTTTCATAGAAGTGACAGTTTTTTTGTTTATTTTGACAAACATTATGAATGATTAATCATTTTTAATTATTATTTAAATTTCATCTGGTTATCATCATAATTTGATAAAGACATTCTCATAAATGGAATTATGTTAACATCGAATTGTACTCATGGGAACATTTTATCAATTTTATTATTTATAGTATTGATGATAAAGTTATATGGAATTATTTCAATTGACGCTGAAGTTCAAATCCAACAACACGTTTATATATCAAATAATATCAATCATAGTTATATTGGAAATTTTTCCCACCCATATGTATACAATTTAACACACAATAATACATCATTTCTTTTCGAGGATAAGGCATCACAACTGCCTGTGGAACGATGGCATTTCCACTTAGAAACACTAATCACTCTATTCCTTGCTTTGTTTTCTTTTGGTGCCAATGCTGGCTTATTGTATTTGGATAGACGGGCTAAACCGTATGGGACAATGAATAATTCTAGTTTCTCAAATAATTTCGTGACAAATACCAATAATAATAACAATAACATCAGTACTAATAATTTAAGTAATAATAATAATTTTCCATGCTCAGCGGTTGGTTTCACCTCGAAAAAATGGTATAACAATAATAATCATAAACGTAATTCATCTCGTGGACTAAATCTTTTCATATTTCACCAAGCCTCAAATGCACCAACACCTCAAGAAACTCTACGATCTTATTCTTTATCAAGTCCAATCAATAAATATCCTTCATCGATTAGTTTGATCAAATTGAATCAAACCAGTTTTAACTCAACTGGTATATTTCATCATGGTTCAACACAATATCATACACCACGTAGTCGAAGGCAACGTCGATATCTTCGTGGATTACTTGGTTTGTCAATCAGTAATCTTAGCTTATCACTTAGTTTAATAAGTTGGTGTTCTTGTCAAATTATTATGCATAATATTAGTAATACAAGAAATACAGCAAAAGCATGGCTAACAATTATTGCATTTATTAATTTGTGGACAATTGATATTGCACAATCATTAGAAACTGGTGCCATATTATGGATTGCACTTGAACGAACATTAGGGATACACTGGCCAAGTGAAACAAACGGTATGAATAGTAATAACACTAATAATAATAATACAAATACGACTACAAATCAGTGTTTACCAAGATTTAGTGAAAAATATGCTAGAAACGATATTAAATGGCGTAGAAGACAATTAACTGTTCGATTGAAAACACCATTGACTAGATTGTTGAAAAGGATAAAGGATAGTTTGAATCAAGCGGTTTTAAATCTACTCTGTTTAAATCGTTGTCTTTCATCGAATTACTTTTCTTGTTGTACATCTCTACTGACAAGCTCATCTGCATTAATAGCTAAAAAACGAAGTAAAAAGAGGCTTTCGTGTTTTATACATATATTTTTATGCTTCCTACCATTAGTGCTATTTCTTATAGCTTCAGTGTATAGTTTAAGTAATATTATTTGTCATACTAAGAAGCTTAGATTACATAATCATGCATTTATTGCTTTATCTTCGTCTAATTCTCCAACGGATCAACATAATAATAATAATCATAATAATCCTGTAAATTTTATCTCTGATTTTCAAACTACTTATAATGGCAGCAGTGTGAGTATTATATACCAGAATGATGAAAATACTACTACTAATACTAATTATAATAATAACAATTTAACACAGCATTTCAATCCACTTGTTATCTATGATTATTTCTATACTTCTTATTATAATAGTGTATTATGGAAACAGATACCATATTATTCTATGCATATAAAACATCAAATCCATGCGTACTATACAAGTTCTATTATATCCGCGTTGGTGATTGGTCAGTTTTTGGCTCCATTGGCAATATTGGTGACAACAAATTTATTGATTTATCAGAAAGTGAGTTATTTATGCGTTGTTATGTTTACTATATTATCTCTTCTATTTTTTTCTTTGTTTTACCTTTCCTAATTGTTTAGTATGAGACATTAGACAATATAAGCGAAGAGTATTGATGTTTTCAATTAGATCTTCTTTAGGCTTCTTTATTCTAATTTACACATATAAAGAAACAAATTAACCAATGATGGTGAGTTTGTGGATCAAATAATAATTATCATAATAATCAGTGTTGTGTTATGAACGTCAGTAATAACGAAGGTGAATATTTCGAGTTTGAGTAGCTTGAAAATCCCCCCCCCCCATTGAGTCATATGAAAAAGAGAAGATATTCAGCGAAGGGACTCTTTTCGATGACGAATTCATTCACATAGCTGTACAATCACATTTATATGTAAATATTTGTGTGTTTGTGTGTGTACTTGAGGTTTGTCAAGTTTAGATAAATGATCAGGTAATACAAGAATGATCTAATATAGAAACAAGGTTAATTGGATAGCCAATTGCTCGTAAACACATGCCTGAAGAAAATGATCAATATCTTCGAAATCTACAAGAGATACGTCGATGACACTTTCATTATCATCAACAATGAAGAAAATATAGACGACATCCTGAAGTCGTGTAACAACTGTCATTCCGCTATTCAGTTCACACTGGAGAAAGAGTCCAACTCCAAAATATCCTTTCTTGACGTCCAACTAACAAGACGAGAACAGGATGGAACACTGAAAAGATCTATCTACAGAAGGTCGACATGCAACAGACGGCTTACTAACTTACACAGTTGGCTACCCTATACACCAAACGAAACCTGATCCCTTCACTCAGCTACAGAGTTCGCAGAAATTGTACCCCGGACACCGTAGATGATGAAATGGACAATCTCAAGGGAATCCTCGTCGAGAATTGTTACCCAGGACGATTTATTGCGAAACCTATGAATCCTAGACCACAAAAGCCGCCCATGCTTAGCGTCCCGAAAAAACTACTCTATATGAATCTTCAATTCAATGGAGATATATCCGCGGAAACACTAAAAAATCGACTGTTTTGCCCACTGAAGCAGACCTTCTTCGCAGTTGAACTACGATTAAATTTCTCCACAAAACCTATGATTCATGTGAAAGTGAAGGATAAGCTACCACTGCTGGCCTCATCAATGTGTATTTATCAATTCACCTGCTCATGTGGAGCCAGGTATGTCGGCCGTACACAGCCAGCGTTCGCTTTCCAAGCGTATCAGGAGAAACTTACCAACATGGCTTTACAAAGGAGAAAAACGATGTCCCCGCAGTTCCATCTTAGAACATCTGATAGAATCTGGACACCAAGCTGCACCACAAACAAACTTCCTAAAGGTGTACGAATCAGACTTTTTCAAACTGCAGAAGTAATGGCGATTTACTTGCTAAGCCTTGAAATCTGCATAAAGAAGAAGTTCGTTCAATCACTACACTTGCAATGGACGTAATCTATCTTATTACCCGACTAGTGAATTCTACCTAATCTTTATTTTGTCTGAGTCTTCATTAGTATTATTTTGTCTTCTCAATTGTAATATTTTGCATTTTGAACTTTCCTGTTCTCTACCCTCACCCGACTTAATTTCTACACCTCACTACCACATGGTTACCGACTCAACCAACGCTCGATTTCTAGTCATTCATATATGCTACGTCATCCAACTTATCTGCTCAATTTCATTTCTAATTTGAATGGCATTATTATCTAACCCTTTTCTACTTAGTCTCTACCTGTAATTCCCTCTGTTGCTACCCTGACCTAAGTTGAAACATTTTAGTCAATTATATTACGTCATCTAACTTACTAACTCAATCTTACTTTAGTTTCTGCCTCATTAACCTGGTTTCTATATCTCGATTATCTAAACTTGACAAACCTCATGTACACACAAATAATTGTATATAAATGCGACTGTAGAGCTATGTGAATGAATTCGCCGAAAAGAGTCTCTTTGCTGAACGTTTTCTCTATTTCCAGTTTGACCATGGATTGATATCGGTTAAAGAACCAATGAAAACCAGCCATGGAATACTGCTAGACAGCTGTTTCATCCTAGATTTGGAATCATTGGCAGTACGCCCTCACCCCACAGCAGGGGTTTGAACCTGAGAACTTCCGGTTACACGGCAAGCCAGATGGATTACCATTCAGCCACTGGGACCTGAATCAGTGGCCATTCCTTGAATTCTAACCTCAACCTATTAATGACTTCTATCAGAGCAAAAATTAATCTGATGCTTGCTACTCTTTTCCTACAGGACGGAGTTTCCTGGAGTTCTAGTGAGAAGTCGTGGCTGGTGAGGTCCATCCAGCCAGGATGTGAGGATAGATGTCCAACCGATGACATTGATTAAGCGTCGTGCTAAATCACGAATTCGTGAAAGTTAGAATTCATAGGATGACCGCTGAGATGTCAGGTTCCAATACCTGGATGGTCTACTAGATAGACTGCTTTGTAACCGGAAGTCCCTGGGTTCAACCCATTACTGTAGGGTAGTTGCGTACTGCCAACGATTCCCAAACTAGGCTGATGAAACAGCTATACAGTACTCCCTGGCTTGTTTTCAATGATTCTCTAACTGATGATATCAATCAGTGGTCAAACTTTAAAAAATAATAATCCCTCTTAAGTGTTTTGAACACCAGTTTTAATGATGAGGATTATAATAATGACAACAAAATAATGATGATAATAAGGTTTATGCAGGTGGCGATAAGAATAACAAAGGTAGAAATATGTGTATATGTAGACAAATTAATCAATGAAGCAAAATAAATTAGGTCAATTCTTAAAAGTTACATAATGCTAAGGGTGAAGTGGGCAGATAATCAGTGTTTTAATAATAATGATAATAATAATTTGCTTTATTCCAAAACAGTACTTGTGATGCAGAATGGAATTCTCAGCATTTTACTACAGTATTGCGGATCCAGTTTGCACATTAACAATAAATAAAATTCTACATAGATTAAAGGTAATCTCGGTTAGTTTCGACAACAACATTATTGGCATGTCAGTAGAAAAGCCAAAATTGAACACAGTGTATGAAGGTGTTAGAGAAGTAGATGCTAGCATATTTACTGGCGTACACAGAAGAAAGAAACAAAGCGGCACATAACAGGAGAAGGAAAGAGAGAGAAAAGGAAAAGAAAGAAAGAAAAACATTGTACCTATAAATGATATGAGGAGTTGGAAAGACGAGATCCAATTGTTCTACTGACTATTTAATAATTAATATTTGATATTTAACAAAAAGTTTAGAGGTGAGGAAATAGACAAGTTGGGTCAAGTTAAAAGGACATATTGAAAGTCAAAATAACAATGAAGATCGCTAAACCAAATATCAGAGTTAATGGTACAGCTGTTATGATATGAAAACAAAGTTAACTAACTTGATCATCAGACTAAACCAGAATCTGACGTGGTTACAACATCTCCCTCCCCTCTCCCCCATGAAGTGACAAAATCAACACGAATATGATAAGCAAGTTCACTATATAAACATACACTGCTTTTATAATTTTACACACTGTTCAAATACAACAATCTACACTTGATTTTGTTGTCTTTACAAATTGACCAACTTGACAACGAAAAATGACCCCAAACTGACAAACGATGATTAAGTTAATAAGCTTTATTTTGATGTCATAACAAATGTACTATTACCTCTGTTATTTGGTTTAGTGATGATCTTCATTGTAATTTTGACTTTCAATATGTCCCCTTTTAACTTGACCTAAATTGTCTATTTTCTCACCTCTTAACTCTTTGTTTTATATAAGCTGAGTGGATTTTGTAAATTCTGGTTTAATAATATTTTGATAAAGCTATTAGAAGCGTTAAATAGCGAGATGTCAGTAAAAACAATATCGTTTTGTTTTTCATTCATTTATTGGGAAATACAAAAACCTTTATTATAATGAAGGATATTGTTGTTTTCAATTAGATCTTCTTCAGCCTTTACTCTAATTTACATATATCAATATTGATAAAGAAACAATTTAACCAATTACGGTGAGTTTATGGATCAAATTATACTAATATTTAACAATCAGTGCTAAGTGTTATGGACGACAGTACTAACGATGATGATTATTTCGAGTTTGACTAAGTGATTGATATCAGTTAGGGAACCATTGAACACCAGATAGGGAGTACTGCTAGACAGGTGTTTCATCAGCCAAGTTTGGGAATCATCAACAGTTCACACCCACCTTCCTACCACGGTTCGTATTCAAGACCTTCTGGTTACAAGGCAAGCTAGCTGGTGTGCCATTCAGCCACTGGGACCTGAATTAGTGGCTATTCTTTGAATTCTAACTTCAACCAATTATTGACTTCTTTTGGAGCAAAAATTAATCTGATGCTTGCCAATGACTTCCTACAGGACAGAGTTCTCTCGAGTTCTAGTGAGAAGTCATGACCAATGAGGTTTATACAGTCAAGTGTGCGAGGATGGATATCCCATCTATGACATTGGTTGTTGCCAGTCGCGCTAAATCCAAATTAGTAGAAGTTAGAATTCATGGGATGGCCATTGAGATGTTGGGTTCCAGTGGCTGAATAGTATACGAGCTAGCTTGACTTGTAACCGGAAGGTCGTGGGTTGGAACCCTGGCAGTGTGGTGGTTGCGTACTGTCAATGATTCCCAAACTAGGCTGATGAAACAGCTGTCTAGCAGTACTCGAGTGCTGGTTTTCAATGATTCTCTACCTGATATCAATCCGTGGTCAAACTTTAAAAAATAATAATCCTTCTTAAGTGTTTTGAACATCAGTATTAATGATGAGGATTATAATAATGACAACAAAATAATGACAATAATAATAAGGTTTATGCAGGTGGCGATAAGAATAACAAAGGTAGAAATATGTGTATATGTAGACAAATTAATCAATGAAGCAAAATAAATTAGGTCAATTCTTAAAAGTTACATAATGCTAAGGGTGAAGTGGGCAGATAATCAGA